AAATATATATATATATATATATATATATATAATATATATATATATATATATTTATATATATAAGACAGGATATAGCATCCCTAATAAATAGGACAGGATATAACATCCCTAATATATAGGACAGGATGTAGTATCCCTAATATATAGGACAGGATATAGCATCCCTAATATATAGGTCAGGATATAACCTCCCTAATATATAGGATAGGGTATAACAGCTTTTTCATAGTATTTTAAAGGAATGTTGATTTTATATTACATTTTACAATCTACAATCTTTGCTTCAATCTGCTTATTGTTAATCTTGTTGTTGATAAGTTTGTAACTAACAAATAAAATAATTTAATACAATGTCATTCTTTGCAATGACATTGCAAATGGTGGACGCTTTTAACAGTTGAAAATAACTTTTTGAAAGGAAAAAAGAAAAAGGGAAAAGAAAGCATTTATAAATTAAATGAAAAATAAAATCAACAAAAAAGAAGAATGAATAAATGTTTTAAAAGAGTTATTTTTTGAAGAATGTTTTAAAAGAACTTGTTTTTTGAATGACTTTATTGGTTACATTTTTGGTTTTGGTTGGTTACAATTCATGATGAGGGTTTATGATTTCTTATTTTTGTTTAGATGGTTATAAATCATTACGAGCATGAGTTTATGGAGTTAGCCATACAATGCCCATCTGTTGTTGTATGTCGGTGCACACCTACACAAAAAGCTGATATAGTTCGATTGATAAGCACTCATACTGGAAAAAGAACATGTGCTGTTGGAGATGGTGGAAACGATGTGTCAATGATACAAATGGCTGATGCTGGAGTTGGTATTGTAGGAAAGGTGACTTTGTAATTATTTTTTTTTTAATTTTTATATATTTAAATTTTTTTTTTTTTTTTTTTTTTTTGATGTAATAAAATTCCTTTTTATGTAGATAATACCTGCTCAAACTCAAACCCTCAGTTTGAGTTTAGGCAGGTATGTGTATTTATATCAAGTGCTTGTTATATATGGTTACAAATGCTATAATTGGATTTTTGTTGTTTTCAAAAATATGAACTAAAATGGAACTGATCTGAATTATGTTCCTGCTAATTTATTTTAATACTAACTTTAAATATTAATTATTTGGTTTGAAAAAAACTATTACATTATTTAACTCCATTATAAAAATAACTAAATCAAATGAAAATATATGTTGAATGTATTCTTGGACAAAATGGAAAGAATATAGATTTTTTCTATAAAGTAAAGTATCCAAGGCATATCAAAGATGACATACTATGTGTTCTGTATACTATACACAGGGCTCAATTTAATGGTCGGACATTGGACATTGTGACCAAATGGAATTTGGTCACAATGTCCAATACCTCAATCTGTCCCATCAATTTATGAAGTAATCGGACATTTTGACCAAATGGAATTAAATTCTACAAAATAAATACTCTAGTATATATGTAAAAATTAAAAGTAAAAGTAAGGTAAATTAAAAATAAATGAAAAGATTTAAAATAAAACTCAAAAAACTCTAAGTTAAAATTACGTTTTGTTACTTTTTTAATTGCGTTTGAAATGAATTACTTTAAAACTTATCTATTGAAACGCTTTATTAAAGTTATGCAAAACGCTGTTATAAATTACTTCTATTGATAGTTTAATAAATAAACAAATTTTATTTAAATTATTGAAAAGTGAAATTAAATTATTGAAAAGGAAAAAAAAATAATATTTTTAAGTTGTTTAAACATTTTTTTCAAAAAGTTGCAAAAAAAATTTTTTTTTTTTAAAAACAATGTTGTCTTTTTAAAATAATTTTTAACCATTTCATCTTTGATTAAAAGTCGAGTTTAATCAACAACTTTTAAACAACTCTTTGTAAAAATAAAAGCAAACAAAAAAAAAAGCAATTAAATCTTGGAATGATTTAATTTAACTTATAATTTAAAGTAACTTGAAAATAATAATCTTTTAATAAAAGATTTTTAGAAAGACTTTTTATGATAAATTTTAATGTTTGAAACTACTTTAAAAATAGTTTCAAACGTTTAAATTTATTACAAAAAATACATACCTACTAAAAAAAATTAAATATAACATTGAATTTACAAATAATGTATTTATTTTCAATTATAATTTTTGATTTTAATTAAACTTTTTTAAAGTTTTTAATTTACGTCTTTGCATAAAATAAAAACTTTAAAAAAGATCAACAATTAAAAGTTATTTGTAATGTAACGATTTTTTTTTTATTGCTTTTAAATATTTAAAACATCAAAAAGCTGTTGTCAAGTTGTAAAGAATAAAAAAAACACGTTGTCAGTTATAGCATGCAAGTTCAAGTCTATCTAAAAAAACATCCAATATTAAATCCAAAATTAAAAAAAAAGCAAAAATCTGTGATAAAATATTTAAAATAACTAAAGTTAAATAAACTTAATAACATGACAAAGATTTCAATTGCATAACATGGTTCCATAAAACCGTAAAAATTTTATTTAAAAAGTTTGATCGGACACTGTCCGACCCAAATACATTATGATTGGATATTTTGTTCGGGACTTTATAAAAAAATCTAATTGAACCTTGTATATATAGGTGTATATATATATATATATATATATGTATATATATATATATATATATATATATATATATATATATATATATATATATATATATATATATATATATATATATATATATATATATAGTATATATATATATCATCTCTTGATTCCACTAGTTGCGTTCTACCTGTTATAGTTGTCAAACAGGTTGATCTATTGCTTGACATTCATATCACTCCAGCTTCTGTATCTAAAGTGATTTCCTGCTTAGACTTTTCTAAGGCTTGTGGCCCGAACACTTCTGCAAGACTATAACATACTTGTTATAGTCTTGCAGAAGTGTTCTCCTGAGTTGTCATTTATCCTTTCAAAACTATTTAACCAGTGCTTATCAGAGTCTTGTTTTCCAGCCTGCTGGAAAGCAGCATCTGTTATCCCTATTTTCAAAAATTCTGGAGAGCAATCTGATTTGTCTAACTACCGTCTTATTAGTCTTCTTCCTATCATAAGCAAGGTTTCTGAATATTTAATTAACAAGCATTTAATCTCTCACCTTGAATCTAATAACTTACTTTCTGATTATCAATATGGATTTCGATCTTCTCGTTCTATGGCTGATTTGCTAACAGTAATAACCGATAGGTTTTATCGTGCATTAGATAAAGGTTAAGACCATTGCTCTTGACATTTCTAAAATGTTTGATAAAGTTTGTCATGCTGGTCTTCTCCATAAACTTTCTTCTTATGGTATATCTGGTAACATCTTTAAGATTATTGAATCTTTTCTTTTCAATCGTAGTATAAAAGTTGTCCTTGATGGAAAGTATTTTTCTTCTTACTCTGTAACCTCAGGGGTTCCTCAAGGTTCAATCCTTGGCCCTACACTCTTTAATTTACATTAACGATTTTCCAGATATTCTCACATCTAAGGTAGCATTATTCGCTGATGATACTACCATTTATTCTTGTCATTATAAGAAGCCAACACTCAGTGATTGCTTGGAGGGGGCATTTGAGCTTGAAAAAAATCTCACTACTGCTACAGCATGGAGCTCACAGTGGCTGGTTAACTTTAATTAAGATAAAACTTAATTTTTTTTAGCCAATCGTTATCGCAATAATTTAGACCTTTCTATATTTATGAACAGTAATGTACTCAATGAGTCATCTACCCTTCATCTTCTAGGATTAACTCTTACATCCCACCTTTCTCAGAAACCATATATCAAACCTGTTGCAAAATTAGCATCTGCTAAAGTTGCATCTCTTTATTGAGCTCGACACTTTCTTACTCCGGATTCTATTCTCTATGAATCTTAAATCCGGCCTTGTATGGAATACTGTTGCCGTATCTGGGGCAGATTATTACTTATTACTATTACTATGGTTACATAATTACTTCATTAGTGATTGACCAAAACAAAAAAAAGCTGAAACTGAAATAAACAGAAATTTCGGATACTCGAATTTGGTGTCTAAACCAAAACCGAGGTTTTGGAAAATATAAGTTAATAGCAAAATTTAACAACTGACAGATTTTTTCTGCAAAACAAGATTTTTTTGAGGTATTTTGTGAAATTTCTTAAATTATTTTAAGAAAATTCTAAAAATTAACTTTTTTTCTAAGTTAGATATCTTTTTTTGGTATATTTTTCAAAATTTATAAAAAGTAACTAAACCAAAGTTTCGGTATTGATTCAAATTGAAATTTCAGTCAAAACCAATATCGAAATAGAATTTCGGTTGATCACTATACTTCATACTTTAGTGGAATGTTACAAGGGATTGTTGTACATTATTTAATTTAAAAAAAAAAAAAACGTGGTTCTTGGTTAATTTGTTCTTAAATGCTTTTAAAGAACACAAAAAGTTTCATGATTTTATAGGATTTTTTTTTTTTTTTTTTTTGTAGAAAACAGAAGAAAAGGAAAGATTAGTTCTTAAAAAATAAAAAAAGATGACAAAATTCTTAGAAGAAAATATTATCTGTTGTATTATTGCTATTAACTTTTTTTTTCATGAAAATTTTATTGTTTTAAGGAAGGAAAACAAGCTTCTCTTGCAGCTGATTTTTCAATAACACAATTCAGTCATCTGGGAAGGTTATTAATGTGGCATGGAAGAAATAGGTTAGGTATTTTTTTATTTATAATAACATGGGTTTGGATTTGCTAAAGTTCATCTCTTAATTGTTTTATTGAAATAATAAATAACTTTACATGCTTTTTCATTTTTGCTTTAAGTTACAAAAGGTCTGCAGCCCTCGGTCAATTTGTTATACACAGAGGTTTAATTATCTCTGTCATACAGGTTAGTAATTAGTTTATTATTTCCGTCATTCAGGTTAGTAATTAATTTATTATTATGACATTAACTACATGTAGGGGGGGGGTCCAAAATTCTATATTTCTTGTTTAACCAGTTATTCTTAATTAATTTTTTGAGAAAAGTTTAAAAAACAATTCAGTTTTTGCAAATTTTTTATGGTTGACCTTCTACTTCTATTTTAAAAATTAAAAAGATATAAAAAATAAAAGTCTTTGCAAAAGTTTCTGTGTGTATAAAGTTACACAACTTTTCTTTCAAATTTATGCTATTCAAATTTTGATTGGATAAATTTGATTTTTAATCGTTGCGTTTTAGAAAGAAAAAAAAGTTTATTCTAAAGTCTTTTTCTAAAAAAAACGTTTTAAATAAGTAAAACGACAGATTGCTTCAAAAAAAAAGTTTTATCTGAAGTCTCTTTCTAAACAAAACATTTTAAGTAATCAAAAAGACAGATTGCTTCAAAATATCTTAATTTCCTTTTTTTTAATTTATTTTTAATCGTTATTCAAGCTATCAAGAAAGCTGTTCAAGATTTCATTTTTTTTGCCACTTTTCTTTAACGAAGTCAAGAATAAATCTTCTTTTAAAGTGCCAGTTGCAGAAGCTCAGTTAAATTCTAAAGTTTTAACAATTCTAAAGATAAACAGTTAGTATAAAGGAACACTGCTACCTAAAAGGCTTTATAAAAAACAAACTGGGTGATCAAATTTTGAAATTTTCTGCTTTACTTTAAAACGCAGTGAATAGCTAGTTCAAAAAAATTCTAGAAGCAGTTAATAAGTATACCTCAAAGAGGTTGAATGATTGTATCATTCTTGCTAGAGTATTTTGGCAAAAGTTAGCCTCAGGACTTCAAAAAAGAGAAAAGTATTATGTGTTTGCTTGATGATGGAATATGATTAGTATTAACTTTCTAATTAAGTTGTTGCAGTTGGAAAGCTTTGGAAAAAACCCATTTAATTTCAACAGTAGATGTATACTTTATTATTTAAACCATATAAAAAATGAAGGTTCGCGTAGTTTTAAAATATTTTGGAAAATTATTGTCCAATTATTTGTCCAAAAAGTTGAAACTATGGAATATAGTTGAAACTAGCTACAAAAACAAATGGATAACAATGGAAGAGCAGCAAACTTTACATCAGCTGTGCAAGATGAGTTCTATTTTAGTTTGATTAAAGTTACAAGGCAGCCCATTTAGCTGTGAACTAGACATTATTGAAGTAGATAAAGACATTATTGAAGTAGATAAAGACATTATTGAAGTAGATATGTTAAAAGGAAAAAAAGTTCGAAAAATGAGGTTCTTTATTTTAGGGATACAATGTAGGTCATTGTCGCAGAGGTCTATTCTGCTTAAATACATGATTGTTGATATAAAAATACAAACCTCCATCTTATGTCTACCAAAGAACACGCTCATAACCTAGATGTTCTATAAGGAAAGTTCACGCAGCAATCTCTATCACATATGATGACTTTTATAGTTATTTTCCATTTTCAATAGTAAATAACAAACTGTATGAATTATTTTCATATATAATGCTTCATTTTTTTTGTTACTTATAAATGATAAGGTATATTATAGATAAATTAAACAGAAAAAGATTTCTAGTTTTCTACTTTTCTTATATTTAATGATAATAATAAATAAATTTCATCTATTTTTAGCAATGCCTTTTTTTGTCAATATATTCACTTTTATTAAAATCGAAGTAGAAAAAAAATGATTATGATTTTCAGAATCAGCATGAAAAACTAATTAAGAAAAATTGGTTAAACTATAAAAAATCTAAAAAAAGACGATTATGGACCCTCCTTACTACATGGGTGCTAGATTTAGTTATCTCTGTTGTGAAATTTACACTCCTTTTTTTACATTGTTTAAAATTTTGAATTTTTACTAAAAAAAGTTTGATTTATTGGTATTTTTTAAGTTTGCTTAATTTTTTTGAGTGAAACAAGACAAAAAATAGGCTAAAAAATCTTGACAAAATGGAGTTAACATCATCATAAAAATCATTAAACAATTTTTTTAATTTACTCATAGGCGGTATTTTCATGTACATTTTTTTTCATTTCTGTACCACTGTATCATGGCATGCTACAAGTTGGGTAAGTTGTTTAATTCAAGTTGGTTAAGTTGTTTACGTGTTTTGTAGTTCATATAATAGAGTTCATAAAAGTTCAAAGTTTTGATAGTTCATTTTAATAATAATATTTAATTGTTAAATAAATAAATGAAGGAAAATATTCATTGTAATAATAATATTTAAAAAAACACTTTAGTCTAACAGCATGATAAGCTAAATAAATTAAAAAAGTATAGTATAGTAAAATTATATATATATATATATATATATATATATATATATATATATATATATATATATATATATATATATATATATATATATATATATATATATATATATATATATATACAGGGTGGAAAATAATGGAAAAAATTGCTATTTTGACCTCCCAAAATCAATTTTTGCCAGTCATGTTTGACCGGTTGAAAAAAAAATCAAAGTTTTGAAAAATAAGGTTTTACAAATATGTTGTAATTTAAAAAATGCATATACTAAAATTTCATAAAATTGTTTGAATTTTAAATAAGCGTTTAAAATAGTCTATAAAAACATTCAAGTGTACACTGTATTGTAACGGCATGCTAATTTGAATAATATTTACTTATGAATGATACTAAATAAGACTTTCTTAATGCTTAGGTGACATTCTATTATATTGTATACAAGGCTTTTAATATTGTTTGTTTTGAGCATAAAAAATCTATCAATAACAAAAAACAAAATAAAAAGATTAAAATAATCTGTGGTGGAAAGATTTCGTTAAAGATATTGGTAAGTTTTGATATTTTGGAGATAAAGTTGGATCAGCTGGTCAGGCATAAGAGGTATCAAGGGTAAGGTTAAGGTTTGCCTGGGCAAAGTTTAATTATCTCCACTTATAACAGCAAGATTTTTTTTTATTTAAAATTAATAGAAAGTAATAAACTGCAGGCATCCAAACTTAATTGTTCATGCAAATACATGAACAACAAAGATTTTGGCATGTAATGCTTAAAACAATCACAATTGTTAACTACTGTGGAAGGAAAAGAAAAAAATCTCTTAAGATTGAATATTTACTTGCTAATCACAAGATTTTCTTCTTGAAAAAGAACATTGTTAGTAGAAGAATGTTAGATTTGGAGATCTCTTTTCAAAAAACTTAATATAATGTAAAAAAAAATTGAAAAAAGACTTTTTATTATATGGTAAAACAACTATAAAAAATTTTATATTTTTTTCAAGAGTTATTTGATTTAATAAGTTATAAATACATCAACCACAAAACTGTGTGTTTTATATGTGCTTTATATAGAAAAATATAGAATAGAATCTTTCTAACAGGAGAGTTTTGATAAAGTTTGGTTTGACAATGAATCACAGTAAGTTGGTTGTGCTGCTGAATTAAATATAAGTCTTATAAATATAAAATACTAATAAAAAAGTATTTTTATAAAATTTCAATTTGTTGGTATTGTGCAGTGGAAACACATTTTTTATTTCTATTATCGTTTTCTTTCTTTTATGTAACATTATTTATAAAAACTTTAAATTAAAAAGAAAAAAAATCTTATTTGAAATTTCCTAGTTATAGATGTTTTCATTGAAGTCTTAAAAATTATATCTCCCTCAGACAAAATTAGTTTTGATATTATGTCAAGTTAATCTGACTTATAATAACTTAACATAATTACATAATTATTAACTTAATATAATTACATAATTATTAACTTAACATAATAATTACATAATTATTAACTTGACAATATCAAAACCTTTTGATTTTGTCACTTTTTAATGATTTATAAAGAATCAGCTTTAAACTGTTTTCATTAAAAAAAAAAAAAAAAAAAAAATTTAAAAGCAAAAAGTTATACTATGACATGTTAAGTTTCTACAATAAAAATATGCAAATTTTTAAAGGGCAAAAGTTTAGTTTTTTATTTACCACAAATATGAAGAGGTACAATATGAGCTTTGATTACTGTGCCTTAGATAAAAAGTGGATAAATAATAAACTAATAAATTTGTCTAGTATACAAACAAATAAAACAACTTGATTATAATTATTTTTATTTTGTTTTACAAATCTAGAAAAATAATTTGAATGATTTTCTGGTTCAATTTAATTTTAAAATACTATTAACAAGTATCAAAATAAATCGTATGCAAACTCAATATTGAATACAATATTGTATGAAATAACTTTTAACTTGATGTTATTAACACAAGATAATTTTAGCCTACACTTAAATATTTTTGACATTTTATTTTCGATTTTGCCAATATACCTTGTGATTATTTCATTATACCTTTTGATTATTTCGTCTTACCATGGGATTATTTAATCATACACTGATCATTTCATCATACACACTATATTATGCAAAAAAATTGTTTTTGTTGTTTAGCTACTCTACAGTATATACAACAGCACCTGTCTTTTCACTTGTTTTGGATGTTGATGTTAGAGATGATATTTCGTTACGTTACCCTGAGCTGTATAAAGATCTTGTAAAAGGAAGAATACTATCATACAAAACTTTTTTTATATGGCTATTAGTTAGCATTTATCAAGGTAAATGAAGTATAGTTTCATTTATTTTTTTATTTGTTGTTCAATTAATATAACATATATGTGACCTACCAATAAATGTAATAAATGTTGTCATTTAGTAATATTATACAAATATATTTACATAAATATAACTATGCAATTTACTAATATAGTTCCAACTGGAGCATTATCTGTGAGTAATATAATATAAGTAATATAATATTATATAATATAATATAAAGTAATATAATATAATATAGCATATTTATAAATATATACAAATTACTTAGTCACTTTAAATAATTAAAATAAAATATTACTTAATAATCTGCATAATAATATACAATAATAAAATTTGTATATTTGAGAATCTTTAATTTAAAAATGTTTTAAATTTAAAAAGTACGTTTCAATATTTTATTTTTCATGGTATAGTAGAATGATCCCTTCAATGTTAAATAATATAATTTCAATAGATAAGTAAGAGACAAATAGTTTCAATAGATAAGTGAGAGATAAATAGTTTCAACATATAAGTAAAATACTTTGAATTTTTTATTTTGTAATGATTTTTATGTTTAACCCCTGGTGACAAAAATTTGGCACAATCTTTGAGAAATTAAAACTTAATGAATTTTTAGTTATCCAGTCTTATTTTTTTAGTTGTTTTGTTTATAAAGTGTTAGTTATCTTTTACTGAAAGAATTATTTACTTAGATTAATTAATAAAAAAAGTTATCAAAAAATGAAGCCGACTTCATTAATTGAACAAGTGTACAATTATTGTAACTTGCTTCCTAAAGCTAAAACGAAGAACATCGTAGAGTATTTCGTTGCCTCTAATCACCCTGAAAGAACCATCAAACGTTACATGGCAAAGTGGAAGAACAATAAGCCAGTTTCCTAAACCAGGATCAGACAGAAAACCAAAAATTATGACTGCTAGGAACATTAATTGCCTAAAAAGTCTTTTGAACATTTGGTCTGGAACTTTAACAAGAAAAATTGCAAATAAATTCAAGTGTGATCTTGACCTCTCTTTTCTTACATTGTAAAAACATTAAAAAACAAAACAAACATTTGTTATTTTAAGAAAAAGCGAATCCCTGATCGCACTGATAAACAGTTAAAGCAGTTGCAACTGAAGTGTGGAAGTGTGAAGTGTCACGGTTTCTGAATTTGTTGCAACTTCAGAAACCATGACTTTGTTATTGAGGATGAGTCTTATTTTACATTTAAACATACAAATAAAAATTCCAATCCTGGATTTTTCTCAGATGAAGCAAAAAATGCACCAAAAAAATGTAAATATAAGCGCAAAAGCAAATTTGAAAAAAAATATTTTTGTGTGAAATATCCCCTCATGGAATCTTAAAACCATTTATTATTTCTGCAAGACTGGCAATATATCAAACTGTGAACAAAAGTGATTGCATCATCAAAAGGTTGGTTGCTTTTATCAACAAACATCACAGTGATGGTAATTATGTGTTCTGACCTGACTTGGCCTCTTCACATTATGCTAGAAGTGTGATTAATTACCTCGATAAGAAAAATATTCCATACGTAACAAAAGTTGATAATCCGGCATGTGTCCCAGAATTACAACCAATAGAAAATTTCTGGTCATTCCTTAAATGTTACGTGTACAAAAACAATTGGGAAGCTGAAAATGAAGATCAGCTGCGAAAAAGAATTCATTTTTGCTAAAGAAAAGTTGATAAAAGTCTTGTACAAGGCATGTGCGAACGTGTATACTAAAAAGTTGACACAGTACATCGTAATGGCAAGAAAGCATTACTTCAGTCCCAAAAGTAAAAACTAATATATTTCTTTATATTTTGTACTAACTTTTTGTTCATTAAACTTTTTGTTGTACTATTACTGCATGTGTTTGTTTTGTGCCAAATTTTTGTCACCAGGATTTACATAATAATAAATCAAATAAACAAGTTTTGTCAATATTTAAACTTGGTGCTTTAAAATAAGTTCTGACTAATGAGAGCTGCTGACATTTGGAAAGTTATTCAGTTAATAAGGTGTTTTTTTTTTATTAAGGACTTTGTTATTCAGTTCATAAGTGTTTTTTTTTTATTAAGGTCTTTATTTTTATCTAGGTGGTATAATAATGTTTGGGGCCTTGTTACTGTTTGAAGATGACTTTATCCACATAGTTGCTATTTCCTTTTCTTCACTTATTCTTACTGAGTTACTAATGGTAGCTCTTACTATTCGAACCTGGCATTGGCTTATGGTGTTTGCAGAGTTATTATCTCTTGCTATATATGTAATATCTGTGATTGTTCTCAGACGTGAATTTGGTAAAGTTACATTTATTTTCAATATAAATTTTATTTCTTTATTTTATTTATATAAATGTCGATATGAAAGTAATTGGGTTCTGTATAAAGGTACTGATGTAGATAAATGTAAATTTATTAATAAGTATCTGTTAATTTTTTTATCGTGTCTATATAATTTATGTTTTTTACAATGTGTCAATATATCTATAATATATATTTATTATAATGCAAAAGCAAAGCCGTAACTACTGTGGAGCAGTTGGAGCAAATACTCCAAGGGCACAAGTTCTTAGGGCACAATTTTTTTCTGTACTTTCTTTAAATTTCCCATAAGAAACCTATAAGGATCTTGTCATCTCTCTAGCGTATGCAGTTATAAAACAACCCCCTGCAATCTGCCAGCAACCCCCATTTAATTTATGTAATAAATTGTATTGCATAAGTAGCAATCGAGATAACTAGCGGGTTTAGAATCTACTTCGTAGGAGATCATAGTTTTTAATGGAGTACCGCATATTTATCTTAACTTTTAAAGTTATCCACTTTTTAAAAAAATATCTTATGATATTTTCCTAAAAATGTCGTAACCATTACAAATAAAAGAAAAAAGTCCAGAAAAATTAATAAACAAAAGTTATAGTTAGTTTGTAGTTAATTCTGTATCTTTTGTTTTTCGAAGCAACTGTTATTAAATGTCTAGATCAGAATTGAATTCATAAATGTAATCAGAGTTCTTAGTATTTTTTCCAGATTTATAAACAATGATTTACAATCAGTTGAACTCATTTTTATATAGGAGAAATTGGGGCACAGCGGATCGGATTTCTTTATTTTTTAAATTGAGCAAAAGTTAAAATATTTATTTTATTTTTTTCAAGGCGGAAGGATTGAGATATATGTCCTTCATGATAATAAATCACTGAAACCCAAATTATTATTATCTAAGACCTCACAGAAAGGTTTAAAGTGAGTTTTGTCACGTTATTCACTGTGCCCAGTACTGAGGCACAGTTAATCAATATACACAACTGTGAATTAATAATAGTGGATAGGGCCATGGCCAAATAACTATGAGGCCGATGGAGTAAAGACATTATACACTATACTTTTGGCATATTTTTATTAATTAGATAAGTATAAAATCGAAATAGTTATCAAAATAGACATTTTGAAAATTGAGAAGAAAAAAAAAAATTCATTGATAACAAAACTTATTAAATGTTTAAAAATTCTTCAAATATTATTCATAATTTAAAACTAATAAGTTCATTTTCATGTTGTTTGTTTGTTAAAAATGCATGAATTTAATCTTTAAGATCATTAATAGGGCATAGCGAATCAACCTATTCTCTGTACCCTTATTCACTCTGCCCCACCAAAACAAATTAAGTTATGTTAAAAGAAAAGCTAAACTACTATAAGGAAGCATAAATATCAATGATCCGAATAAAAAATTTCAACTTCTAAAATTATTTTAACCATGATCTCCATAAAAAACATAAGGAAAGTAAGAAAATTTACTTTAGCTAAAAACAAAAATTACTTACAAAAAACCGGTAGACTAATATGCGGTAACAACTGTAAATAAAGATAGGTAATATATGAGCACATAAAATGATTACATTATCGAGATGAACAAAGTTCTAATCTTTGAGAAAATGCTTCTTATTCACTGTGCCCCAAATTCCCCTATACTAAATAATCAGCTAAATTTATTAAATCACGTTATTAAAAATATCTCACATAAAGTAAACATCAAACAGTATATTAAAATAGTGCAATAACAAAAACTGTGTATTAAAATAGTACAATAACTTCTAATTAAAATGTCACGCGGCAAATGTGCTTTTAAAGTATAGCTAAATATTTCATTAATTATAAAAAAGAAGCAATAGATTTTGGAGTTTAAATAGTGATTCCAGTTTTGTTGCTAAGTCGTTGTTAAGGTCAACAATTTTTGATAACTTAATAAAAAATGCAATTTTAAAATGCTTTATGTTAATAAACAATACAAATTGGTTATATCAAATGAAAGAAGATAAAATTTTAAAAAAAAAAAGACATTTTTGAATCAGATAAACAATTTTTTTGAAAATTCACTCAAAAATTAGTATTTTTTAGCAGTGTACTACTTTAAGATTTTGAAAAAGTAATACCTTTTATTTCAATTCTAAAACCCTTATGAAAATGTGCAAATATCTTAACAAAACCCTGGGGTGACATCTTCTATATTAATTAATTTTTTGTAAAGTTTTTTAAAAATAATTACTTATTAGCTACTTCAAATGTTTCTTAGATCAAAATTTTATAATGACTGGTGCTTTTTATTGGAAAGTGACCGTAATTACGCTTGTCAGTTGTCTGCCATTATATATACTAAAGTTCCTCCGAAGAAAGTTTGCACCACCAAGCTATTCAAAACTAAGTTAACTCATTGGTTTGTCGTGAAGTTTGATATATTTTATCGAAATGGAATGGATTATAAAATTTAACAGAGGTTTTTTGAAGAAAAGTATTAAAAAGTATAAATATTACTTTCATTATTTTTTAAGTTTTTATACTGTTACTAAGGTTACTGTTATCATTTGGTAAACGTAAAAATTGTTTTATAGGTTTTATTTTTAAATAGATTTTGATGAATTTAATCGTTACAATCCTCTTTTTTTTAAGTTATTTTTTCTTTTAAGTATTAACTATAATGTATTTAAATTCATGTACATTTACATGATCACTTTGAGAAATCTATTTAATATGCAATTAGTGCAACAAAACGAATATTTATATTTTGAACAGACTATTGAGAATTTTATGAGATTGCTTTTGAATTTTTTTAATTTGTTTGTGTTATTTTTTATTTTATGTTTATATTTAAATCAATAGACAAATCAACTTTATTTTTATGTATTTAATTAATTGCGGTCGTTCAAAAGGTTTAGTACGCGCGCTCTTATAATTAAAGCTTTTCAGTTACAGTTCCTTTCCGTAAAAATAAACATTAAAAAGCTACGGTTCTTAAATAAAATATTTAATGCCATTAGCCATTTCTCTAATTTGATTGAGCAATTAATTTCAGAAAAAGAGGCCAATAAAAACAAAAATATAAACTAGTTTTAAAAAAAAAAAAACTAAATTCATAATTTTATTTTTAAATAAAAATGTCTTATTCCTACTCAAGCATTATTAGGCCAAAAGAGGTTGAAAAAAGTGGAAAAGAGATGTAATGTTGTATATTGTTTATAATTACACTGTTACAAAGTTCGTTTTAGAATGACAATACGGAACATACTAACATTGCTCTATTTTCTTTCCTAAATCAAGATAAAAAGTCCTATGTTCAAAAAGCTTGTTATAACAAAATATTTAAATATTTTCGTAAAAGAGGTGTTGATAACTTTAAAATGATAGAACACATTTAAATGTGTAAGGCCTGAAGGATAAAAGTTCTGAAAATGGTAAACAATCTTTAATAACAGGAAATAAAGTTTCTATCGTATCTTCATTAACTAATTTAATTAAGAGAAAAATTACCTTTAAAATTGTCCAAAATTTTCAACTACTATTATTAAATAAATTCATATAATACTGTATCGCACAAATAATGAAAATGATAAGTTGTTGTCACCTGAATAAACAATAAGAAAAAAAATTTTCTCATGAAAGGGAGAGAAGTTTACTTAAAAAATATAAAATTTTCAAAGTACACGATAAATAATTTTATAACGAAAATTTTGAAAAAGATGATATTTGTTGTAACTAATTTACTGGTATGAGAAAAAAAATATTTGATATTTTATTTGAATATCCAAATTCTGGAAAAAAATTGTGAAAACATAAAATATTATTATCCTAAGCATAGTTCTCAGGAAAAGCTACCTTAAGAATTGTTTTTACAAGACTTTTCTAAACTTGATTTCTTGTGTGTGTGTTTGTCCGTCCAGTTAGAATCTTTGAACTTATATTAAACCCACTTCCCGGCTAGCTAGACCTCAGAAACTTTCAGGATAGCTCAGAACCCGACGACAATGCAATTTAAAATCATTTTCAAGCTTCGGCAGTCAATATTTCTCTCGATTTCAACAAAATAAAATTTTATATGCAGAGAAAATAACCAAACAAATCTAAAAAGTAAAGAGTAGTCTACAATAAAAAATGAATTTTTCTAAAAACAACGTTTTTCAAGCGAACTAAATAGTAGAAAATAATTTTTCTTTGAGCTTGTCAGAATGCCTGATTACATTCCTCTAATAATGATAACAGATTTTATAACAAATTTGATACACGAAAAACGTTGGGCGCATGTTATAAGATAAAAGATTGGTGCTCGACTAACACTAAATGGTTTCGTTAATCATATATCAATGCAATATATCTACACTGATCATTAGAATGACCAACTATATTTAAATCATAAAAAATACATTTAAGCACATCCACACAAACAAAGCATGAAATCAAATGTTATACTGCATAATGTCATAATATTATCAAATCACCACTTGCACCCAACGTTTTTCGTTTTACGTGTATCAAATTTGTTATAAAATCTGTCATCATTATTAGAGGAATATAATCAAACATTCTGACAAGCTTAAAGAAAAAAAAATTTCTACTTTTTAGTTCGCTTGAAAAATGTTATTTTTAGAAAAATTCATTTTTTATTGTAGACTATTCTTTACTTTTTAGATTTGTTTGGTTATTTTCTCTGCATATAAAATTTTATTTTGTTGAAATCGAGAGAAATATTGACTGCCGAAGCTTGAAAATGATTTTAAATTGTATTGTCACCGGGTTCTGAGCTATCATGAAAGTTTCAGAGGTCTTTTTTTATTGTAGATTTTATCGCTACATTTTACACCAGAATTCAAGCACGGTTCTAGGTCAATATAAGTTATTTAAATGTTGGCAATTTAACAAGATTTTAATCTAAACAAAAAGATTTTAATTTAAACAACCAACTATTATTGTTTTTGTTTTGTTTTTTTAATTTTAACCCTGGTTATTTAAAACAACAAAATCTGCTGTTTTAAGATACCTTATTAACCAAATTAAATATACCTGAAATTTGGTGCAATACCAATTTGACTAAAATTAGATCCTCTAAAACTTAATATAAGCCAAAATACTTTTAAAAGGCTTATCCTAAAGTGAAAGATTTATCGACTGTTCTGAGTTTTTTGTCATGGACCTTCCAGCCTTGTAGTTTCAGTTATTGTTTAATAACTGAAACTACAAGGCTGTATAACTGAAACTACAGCCTTGTAGTTTCAGTTATACACTATAAGCATCATTTTCCCTTATAAAAGGTTAGTTGCTGTATTGCAATAACTTATGTTAGTGAAATGTATGTTGCTTCTATATCTGATATTGAAATATTTGAGCAATAAGGATCTTAACAAAAAGAGCTATGGGAGGTTTTATTAAATTATTTATTATTAAATTATTAATAAATGGTTGATAGGAGTTTTTTAGTAAATACTCTGCTTTTGTCATTAGAAGCAACGCTTAACATTCCAATCTTTTTGTTTAAAAGAGATTCCCACAAAAATATTTTAGAAAGTCAAACGATAAAATAATTTACTTATTTTTGTGGAGCGTGCCATACAATTAGTTAAGAAAAATAAACAACTATGTATTAATCAAGTTTGAGCTGTAAGCTGTTTATTGTGTAAATTTATGGCCCCTCTTATAATACAGTAAAAGTTGTATGAATTGTAATATTATTAAGATACGCAGCATAACAAGAGATTTTTTTAAACAAATAACTTAATACTATCTAAAAAATAAAATTCATCAAAATCAACGTTTGCATTATAAATTCCTTTAAACATACATTGTGTCAGTGCAAATAAACTCATTGCAATTCCAAATCGCAATTCAAAAGAATGCGATTTTGCCAACGACAAGTTGAACGAGAATGAGTTTTGGTTGACGGAACTAGAGTGCGAGCAGTAGTCATGGTAAAATTGTAGAAAATAGAATGAAATGCTATCTTACGACAATATGACAGTAGCTAAAGCTTGGCAAATAAAGCAGGTATAACTACATTTGGTCAACATTATTTCATTAGTGAGAGAGTTGTTACTCATCAATATAGGAATGTTATAAGTATTGCATTAATTTTTTGCAGTAAATAACTTGATTAGAGTTTTGATTGAGTTAAAATTCACAACCATTGCAAGCCCTAATCTGTTACAAAAGAGAGATCAGATTCAAGAATTAGATCCTCAACACAATGGGCCAGCTACGGACATAAGTTATTATCTATTCAGCCAAAAAAAAAAATTAATAATGAAAATCTACAACAAAAAATGAATTTTTTTAAGAATAAAGTTTTTCAAGCAAACTAAAAAGAAGAAAATAATTTTTCTTTGAGCTTGTCAGAATGTCTGATTAAATTCCTCTTATTATGGTGACAAATTTTATTACAAATTTGATACATGTAAAACAAAAACGTTATAATACTTAATAATAATATACAATAATTTTGTATACCGTAACAAGATCAAATTTAACTCTACGGTGTTTAAGAGAATCGAGATTTAGATTGTGATCATTATCAGAAAATTCAATTTTGTGATAATGATCACAAAATTGAATAATCACATATTTTGGCTACACTTCATTCTCCTTCAAAAGCTTTTTTACTGCGTTGTGAGGTTACTAAGCAGGGCTATTAAGTATCTGGATATAAAGCCATGACTGTTGAGAGGATGTAATAGAGTTAAAACTTTTATAAGTATTTTATAACTATTAAAACTTGTTTTTGAATTATCTTTAATTTATTGGGAACTTTTGACTTGCATTTTTAACTTTTATTCCACACTTCGGCTTCAGCATTTGCCCTTTTTACAAATGGCAGACTATGGCTATAAACAAAAAAAAGCGGCTTTATTTTTTGTCCAATAAAATCCGGCAATTTAGAAATCTAGTTTATATAATATATCATTGTCTAATGAACGTCCAAGGCTGGCGCGATGGGGACGTGGGGGAATGTGTACCCCCTCCCCCCATCAATGTTTTTTTTGTTCATTTAGTTGGCAAATTTGACCCTTTATGACTAGTTTTTTTTTTCCCTCATTTATTTAGCCGTACAGATATTTACAAGTTCCGTGTTTTATAATATATACATAAAAATGGCAAGGTAAGAAGAAGACAGATTTGCCTTATCACCAAGTCCCTTGTTTTTTAAGGCATTTATATAAATACGTTGTAACTGAAATTAAAAATTAAAAATGAGAGAAAAAAGCAAAATGTTTCAAAGAAGTTAATAAAAAATGCAAAATAGTGTAATAGAGTCTTTCAAATTTATTTTTAATAATTGAAAAAAAATTAAATAATTCATTCAAGAAAACAAAAACCAACAGCAACAACAAAGAAAAAAAAGAAAACATAAAAAAAATGAAAACATAAAAGATAGTTTACAATCAAAAGGTACTATATATATATATATATATATATATATATATATATATATATATATATATATATATATATATATATATATATATATATATATATATATATATATATATATATATATATATATATATATATACATTCGTATATAAATGCTGTAAATCCATAATTACTTTTTCTTAATATAATTGACTGTAATGTATATAATTAAAGACC